CGAAGATAGATGCACAGCGAAGTAGTATTAATAGTTGCTGCATTCTCTACAGCAGTAAACACCATTGTTGGAAATACGTGGACATTGTTTAGCTGCTATTGTTGTGTTTAAAACTCATAGACTTGAACTTATAATATAATATCCTAGACCGGGCACTGCCTTGACTGAAGCTCTCTCTATAAAATTCTATTAACCATTCATTTTTAAAATGTTTTTAGTGGGGGTTTTACGGCGCTCTCAACTGTATAAGGTCAAAGCATTCACGGTCCTGGTGAGCACCATAAGCACCCCAAATGAAGGGCAAAACCACTATTTCACTTTGATCGAGTGAGCGCGTAACTGTTCCTTTCTTGCCCGTCATTTATTGGTTCTATTATATAGAGTCAAATGGCGGGTTCCATGATGAACCGGAATAACGTCATAGTGCACGGTCTAAGGTATTATAATACAAGTCTATGTTAAAATCTTGCTTCAAAGGTAGTCGGTAAAACTGAAGATGGTAAATATCAGTAGTGGAAAGAATCATGATTGTTATGAAAGTTGACAGATATATTGATGACAATTAATGGTGTCGCTTAGTTTAGAGCAACTAACAACACAATGAAAAACGATTCATTTATGAGGCCTTGAATGAAAGAGGTCGATGGCAAACTTGAACCGCCAATGTTTGTTCGAGAAAAGACACTTGATGATGATAGTTCTATGATAAAAAGTTTCTCAAAGACAGGCATTATAATCATAGTATCAATAAAAAAAAGCAACCAAGCAAACTTGCAAACAGAAGATCAGGGGGGGGGGGGGGTGTTCTTTACAATGATCCCAGCAAAACCAGCGCTAATCAATTATTATTCTGATAGAGGCATTTGATGTCCCTTAAAATGTGAGCTGAATTTGCTTTGAACTTCTGAGTTTCATAAGGGGAAAAACACTTAGCCAAAATAACGGTCATCCTATTATCGTAGTGCTGGGAAAAAGCAAAATGTAAAGAGAGAAACAACAAAAGGAATGAAAAGAAATAGGACCCACGAGTTGTGCGTGTGTTTGTGTGTGTGTGTCAGTGTGTGTGTGTGTGTGTGTGTGTGTGTGTGTGTGTGTGTGTGTGTGTGTGTCTGGGTGTGTGTGTGTCTGGGTGAGTATGTGTCTGTGATTGTAAGTTTTCTAACGAGTTATCGAGCAGTTATGTGTTTCTTAAGTACAAACAACATGAGACGTAGTAAACAACCCCCACCCCAAGCTCCGTTACAAATATTTCCACCTCCATCCCCACACCTACCAAAGCAGCTGCCCCTCTCTCAGACTCGGAGTCTGTACTTTGTCTATCTCAAGTGGATGCCTCTCTTATCCAGACGATAACACTAATCCATTAATCCGCGACCAATGGTCAGTTTTCCCAAAGATAACGAGCACAGAGCTGCGAGAAGGGTGAGTGACCACTCGAAACATCTTGACCTATAACAAGGAATACCCTGTTACGCCAAAAGTTAGATGTTTGTGGTGTCACAATGCTGGGCTATCGCAATGGTTGTTTGTGTGAATGCGTTTGTGTGTGTGGGGGGGGGGGGGGGTACATTATGTGTGCGTGCTTGTGTGTGCGTGGGGGAGGGGTGAGAGAGATAGATACTATCTAAGATAGAGAAACTGAAAGAGACAGAGAGAGAGACAGAGAGAGACAGAGACAGAGACAGAGAGAGAGAGCGAGAGAGAGAGAGAGAGAGAGAGAGAGAGAGAGAGAGAGAGAAAGAGAGAAAGACAGAGATACAGAGACATAGACCGAGAAAGAGGGGAGAGAGAGGGAGAGAGATGGGGTGGGAGGGGACGTGGGGTGTAGATGGGTAAATACTTAGATATTTGCGGCGTGGGACACAGCTTTCATAAATTAAATGCCTTGCCAGGAAACGCATACAATTTAAATGAATGTAAAAGGGGGAAAAATCGAATAAAAATCCCCCACTTCTCTTTTTTGTTTGTTCCAACCCAACTCTAAGGCCAGTCATCGGGATGCTACTAGCTAGATCTAAGGCCAATAAATCTCTCCAAAACCATGGAACACCGAGAGATAATAAAATGCTCTCTAACCAGCCACTAATGCTATGAGGCTACCACAAAGTCCATGGAGACTGCTCATTGATTATTTTCCTGTAAATATTTTATACCTCCATCACAATACTGCTTTGACAATTTAGAGCAGAATTTGCCAACATTATTATTATAGCCAATGGACACCTTTACCCCCTTTGGAGAGGCTAACATTTTCGTACAGCAAACCTACGTGACTATACATGTACATGTAATTTAAATTCAGGCATTTTATAACACCTGTGACAGCCGTGGGTGCTTCCCATCGTCAATAAATATTACTTATGACCAAATCGTTTCCCATTGGAACAATATCACCCTGATTGGCAAGGGCTGATTTAGAGGGGTAGGAGGGGGAGTTGCTTGAATACTGTCCGAGATACAGCATACTGTCAGAGATACAGCATACTGTCAGAGATACAGCATACTGTCAGAGATACAGCATACTGTCAGAGATACAGCATACTGTCAAACCTGCTCAAACGTCCACCTCTATAAGACAATTCGCTACCTCAGAATTACAAAGTTTTATCTGCTCAGTACAGAGATTTGAGAAATTATGACGTAAAAATGTCGAGTTTCTCAACATGTCAAACTTTTTCGAAAGCAATTCTTTCAATATCTTGATAATGACTCCGACTAATCTTTCAATTTTGCTATATCAGATAGAACACTTGGTTTATGACCTAATGGTTTGGGTAGCTCAAAACGGCCAAAAGTGTTAGATAGAACTTTGAAATTCTGAGGAAGTAAAAAAATTGTCTGTACAAAGGACCACTTTCCATTCCCCCTTGGCGTTTATAAACTTCACAATGACTCCATGTAAGACGCGCATCTGTCTAAGACAACCACTTTTGTCCTCAACTATCCGTACGCCTTTGGGTAATTTTGTACTGTCGGGGTTGTATTCTTCACATTTTAGAATACTTCTAGTACAAAGATCTCTTTGAAACGTTCAGTACTTCTCAGAAAATCATTTTGACAGACTGCTATGAAAAGCGTACGGATCGGATCAACGAGTAAATTTTCTCTTTGGAAGTGGTGGCACAGAGTTCCCCATGTCGTATGGATACGATAGTAAAACGCAACGTGCGGGACTACATCTGCTAAAAGACTGCGAGCGTCTCAAGTGTTTGTGATCGCAAACAAAGGACGTAGCACCAGCAACTGAGGCGAGACAAGAAGGGCCCCTTACCCAATAGCTATCACGCTGACTGGCATGTTGGACAGGTTTTGTGTTGTCGTATCTTTGCTTTTGTTTACCGGACAAAGGGGTGTTATGGGATACATCGACTTCTCTGTTGTTTGCTACTCTTCTCGGAATGGGGGAAGGGGGGAGGGAGAGAGCGTGAGAGAGAGAGAGATAGATAGAGAGAGAGAGAGATAGAGAGAGAGAGAGAGACAGACAGAGAGGCAGGGAGAGAAAGATAGACAGAGAGAAAGAGA